ATAATTTTTAAATATAGTTTTTTTAAAAAAATTATTTAATAAATAAAATTATTAATTTTAATAAAAAAAACCGAGTGCCAGTTTTTTTGTCCCAAACTGTATATAATACAATATATTGGATATTAATTAAATAAAAATAACTAGTTGATTTTTTTATTTGTAAACATAAACGTTCTTTTATTAAGCTAATTTAGCTATTGTAAATAAGGGATTAAAGTATGCAAGTCTGCAAGATACTAGATTCGTAACACAACGCTTACCACATTGATGGTGATTTCGGTTTCATAAAATTTCCATTGTTCCGGCAAATTATGCTTTTTTCGGTTTTTCCATAAAAAAATTCAAGAATTACATTTCGCTTGTTATCTTCATTATACGGAGATGACAGGTTCAAAAGAGGACGTGTCCAGCGGCATTTTATTTGCCAAAGTGAGTATCCGAATTGACATATTTACACAGAAAGAAATAAATTAACTCCACTTTATTTTTGAATGCTAGATTAACGGCAGATTTATTGCTCATTCACATACATTATTCGCATATGGTAATTATGACTTCTTAAAGCACTAAATTACATTTTTATATTTATCTATAAAGAAAAAATTTTTATCTATGTAGTTGCGTTCATTTCCGCGCTCATCGTTGGATGCTGGACTCACTATTATCGAATCGTAAAAAACGAGTATTGGGGATATCCTGAGGTTCGGAAAGTCCGAATGACATTCATCGAATTCAAATCTTGATTAGTAAATTTTCATCTTCCCTGAAATATATACGTAGGAATGGTTTCCCAGTGTTAGTGCTACTATCGGGGATTATTATCCTGCGCGTTCCATTTTTCAAATTTTTATTGCCATTACATCGGGTAAAAATTTTGACCACATTTTTTATCATAATTATCATAATTTTATTGACTAGCTAGACTTTCGAAATTTATAGGACCTCGATTCATGATGATATTCTTTTTCTATCTCCTCACCGACAAACCAAATCATTTATATCCTAAGTTGCACGCCATTATCGGAGTAATACGTACAGTTTCGTGTGGCAGTTGGGTCTATATTACCTCGTCAGATGATCATTTTGTTCACGACATAGCCATGATAGTATACTTGGTCACTACCTTACCTTGGATGCTCGGATCACTGAAAATGGGGTCAAAAAATAAAAATGCAATCCAGGGGAGAAAGTCCATATTTTTCATGTTTTTTGGTACCCTTGTACCGATGATATATTATTTTATTCAACACAAATTAAATCATGTAGCTGGAGGTAAAATTCATCACTTTTCGTGTTTGCTTAAACTTTAATAACTTTTATTTATAATGTTTATATCTATAGCTTACACTATTTATGCGTTTTTCGAATGGTCCTTAATCCTTTATGATATTGCTTTTGATGCTTTTAACTTTTATGATTTGAGTTCCTTAGAATTACATATTATTGACACAAGGCATAAATCTAGGTACGGGTATGAATGATTGGATCCTGTTGATGTTTTATTTTTCAGTGATTTTTTATTATATTCAATAAAAACTTTATCAAGCGACAAGGGTTCGACCTCCAAAATTCCTAGCACAAAAAATACAACTTATCATCAATATTTAAAAGATCTTTTTAGAAATTCAGATATCATTCGTTGGAATAACATAATGGAATATATAGTAGATACTTATCTGGGTAAGCTAATCTATGATTAGTACATTCTTCATGCATCTTACTAACATAAACTTGATTTATTTTTCATCTTAGCATTTGTTTATTGGTCAATGTTGACATCTCTTGCCTTGACAATTTGGTATTTTCCACTCTGGTATATGGGAATTTCTGGATATGAAGCCTTCTTACTTGTAACCTCTTCGCCAGTGTTACTTGGTATTGAATCAGTGCGCAAAATAGTTGGATCCTATACTGGACTCTTTCATCTATTGTCACTCGTGGGACTATCATCATACATGTTTATTGATCCGGTCACTCGTCTCATGTTGGTTTCTATAGGGATGGCACTTGCTAATTTGACTTGGACCTCTACATGGATCGAGAATCGCAACAATAAAGTTCAACTGGAACGTAATTCTCTTATTTGGGGATTAGGGCTAATAATGAGTAATGTTGTTAAAATGGCTTGGTGGACAAATAATCCTATATGGCCAATAATGCATAAAGAAAATGGTGGCCAAAATGGTTTTGGATTAACGATGGGAATTATAGCGTCACTTTTAGTAATGTTCCGTCAAGAGAAGGATCAATTCAATTCAATTGAAAAAATAAGGAAAGTTCCAGGATCATGGTTTTCCGCAGCCGCCGGGTTAGGGTCTCTTGTGTTTGCCCTTCATTCCTTGCTCTCTGATACTACTATACTCACTCGCTGGGTATATGATGGGTATCCAAACACCGGGCCTCTTCCCATACCATGGGGGGCTCTGACCATTATAGTAATGTCAATGGGATTGATTCTTTCACCAAATCGTAAAATTGTCGTTGGCTTTCCTTGGTATGTTATTGGGTGCGTTTCATGCGCGTGTCTATATTTTTATCCTACATGGAAAGGGTACTATGGAGGATTACTGCTTAGTATTTATCTTATGTCTCTTATACCAACATTTATTCGGGGAGTTTCTCAATATCCTCCAGGAAAAACCCTCTTTACTGCAATGATGATATACAATATACTTTGTTTGGCTCACGTATGGATTGTTGCGTACGCCTTCGTTCCCGCTGGAGAATACATGAGAGAACATACAGATTATGTATTACTGGCGATGATGTTTTTAATTGGACTTGGTGTTCGGGACGCATCTGCAAATGACTCAGTAAAAAATGTGCAATTAAATAATTTACATATTCATCGATCCTTAACTAGAGGAGGATTGGGGATAATGATTTTAGTAGCGTTCCTTGTCGCATTTTCGCGTATTTCGTATGATCCCCCTGTACCATATCATCCTGAACAAAAATTAATTACGGCAGGTATATGGACAATACATTTCGGATTGGATAACGATATGTGGGCTAGCGAAATTAGAATGAGAGATCTAATAAAAGACATGGAGTTAGACGTTATTGGTAGGTTTAAATAGAATTATGATAATTAGAATAATTTTGCGATTAAAATTCATTCTTTTCTTCCTAAAGGTCTTTTGGAAACCGACACCGGACGTATAATAATGGGTAACCGAGATCTTACACAATTCTTAGCAGAGGATCTTGATATGTATGCAGATTATGGCCCTGGTCCATCAAAGCACACATGGGGATGTGCGATGCTTTCGAAATTCCCAATTATCAAATCTACGCACCATCTTCTACCATCACCTAAAGGGGAACTTGCATGCGCCATTCATGCTACACTTGACGTTTATGGAAAGGAGGTCGACTTTATTGTTAGTCACAATGGTCAGGAAGAAGATCCTGAAGATCGAAGATTGCAAACCACTGAACTTGCACGAATAATGCGAGAAAGCGAAAACCCATTTATATTTTTGGGTTATGTGGTGACTAAGCCACTAGAAGGGAATTACTATATATTAATGAATGATGGTAATGTCAATGATATAGACGATACAGATTATGATCGGTGGTGTGAATATATTGCATATCGTGGGGTTAGAAAGGTTGGGTATGCACGTGTTAGTCATGGTCGTATAACTGATACTGAATTACAGGTAGGAAAATTTCAAGTTATAGATGGATATAATCGTTCGAATTGGAGATCTACTGAAAACCGCATTCAGGAGAATGAAGTAAGTCCAGAATTACAATTTTCACCAAAATTCAAGGGTGAGGGCGTCCGTGGTCATAAATATCATGTATTTGATGAACCTCGATACTTTAATTAAGATTCGTAATAGGATCATAATATAATAATTAGAATAGTTTTATGGAAAATGATTGCCAATAGGTGTGAGGTCCAGAAAAATCTTTTGTTTAAGACTGTTATCTCAAAATTACATAAAGATAGTAAGAAAATAAAAACAAACACTTAAAAATTTAAATGCGTCTATGGTTTGTTACATTTATGGTTAAATAAGAATGTTTTTAATAATTGATCTTAATCTATAAAATATTGCACAATTCTGGTTAAAAAAACTGAAAATTCGCACGTTTAATTTTATTAAAAATTCAAAAAATGTTAATATATTGTTTATATGTATTTTTTTAAAAAATATATATGTACAAAAATTTAATTGATCTTTTTTACTCTTTTTTTTTATTTTTTTAAAGAACTGGAACAGTTATTAACCAGACCTTTATTTATAAGAGATTACTTTTTGACAATATTACAAATGTGAAGGCTAACATACATACATCTCTCTTTGCTCAAAAAAATGATTCATCTATTCTAGCTCTTTTTTTTCAATAACTACTCAAGCAGTAACAAAAAGATTTTCAAAATATACATATCTTAAGCAATGTCTAGTAGAGAACTAGAGAATTTGTAATATCCAATCACATAAAAATGCTATAGCTAAGTATATAGATTTGTCTCCAAGTCATGAATGGAATTTGGCACACTTGTTTTTCAAAGTTGATTTGATGTATGGCAGGCAGAGTAAAAGAAGAAAGAGTTAGTTTTTATACATGAAGATACTATAGCTATTTTTCACAAGTTGGTCTCCAAGTCATATAAAAAGTTTAATATATTTATTTTTCAAGTGTGGCAGAAGTATTGAATAAATAAAGTTGTGTTGAAATTTCTTAAAGATATTGTTATCTAATCATATATATGGATCTACATTGTTGAGAAGTAAATAAGAAACTTCTGTTATCAATATCAGCTCTGTTTATGGAAGTAATTAAAGTTTCTAGTTATTATATATTATTCTACTAGGTATTTCAAATATTATCATATCATTTATAGAATTTTATACTGGTATTGATTACTATTTGACTGAAAACTGTTAAACACAACTTTCTAAAAATTCAGATGACAATAGTTATATAGTACTATATCTAGTTTAATCATTAATAAGTAAAAATACCAAATATGATAATAATAACTATGCTGATATTTTGAAGTAAACTATCCATTCTTTTTCTAAAAAATCATGAAAGCAAAAAATTTTCTAAAGCTTACAACATAAGAAAAGTTAATATTTTTTAATATGGTTCTTAAGAAAAAGAAGTTAATTGACTAGAGAAGTGACAAGATAAAAGGTAACAATTTTAAGAAAAAGAAAAATCTAAAAAAAAAAAACTTTGGGAAAAAAAAACCTCCAACTTTAACAAATAGAAAAAAGAAAAGATGAAAAAGAAAAATATAGTAATAAAAAAATTTGTAGAAAAAAAAGAAAAAAGAAAAAAAAATAATAATAATAAAATAGTATTAAAAGAGAAAAAGCAAAAAAAAAACAACTTAAAAATTTTCTAAAAAAAAATTTTCCAAGTATAGAAAGGAAATAAAAAAAAGTTTGGTTTTTTGAGATTTTTTTTACTTTTATAAATAATGCAAATTTATATTGTATATAAAAAATTTTTTTAAATATAAATTTATTCTTTTTTTAAAAAATTATTTAAATGTTTTTAATTGAATTAAATTTTAGAAACAAAAATAATCAATCAAAAATTTAAACAATATTCTTATAAAAATACTATAATATTTTTTATTTTATATATAACAAATTTTTTTTTATAAGCAAATAAATATTATATTTTATTTATTATTATAATTTTAGATTAATAATACACAATTACAATATTTTTACTATAAAATATATTTCTTTTTACTAAAAATAATTTAATACAAGACTTAAAAAATTAATTTATTTCTTGTTTTTTGAGAGGTTTTTCTTGTAAGTAAACATTATTTTTTTATTTGATATTGTATATAATAAAATATATATTGTGAAAGTAACAAGATTTCTTTCATTATTTAAGAAAAGTTAAATATTAGCTTGCACTAATCGAAATTGATTTATTTGACATAATTCTACTCATCAATCATTTGTCAAAAAAGTATATAATTTGGTTAATCAAATTTATATAACTTTTATCTTCAGTTATAAAGTGGCATATAATTTATTTGGTATATAAATGGTGCACTTTTTTTAAACCTCATTTTGAAGAAATTAATATTTTGACAGTAAAATGAATAATTTATTTTTTGTGTTATTATATATACTGTATATATTTTGACTTTGCCAAATTATATTACTTTGATGAATTATATTGTTTTGACAAATTATATTATTTTGCCAAATATATATTGCTAAATTATACTACTTTACAGAATTATATTACCTTGCCATATATATATATTTGCCAAATTATATATGTTTTGATAAAATTTTATATATTGTATTTGCAATTTAAAGAAATAATAATTAAATATTTACAAGAATTTTGTCGATTTGAAATCTTATATTTAAATGGAATAAATCAGCTAAAAATATTGTAAATAGAAATTATACATTCATATTTAAGTAAATAAAATTCAGTACTCTATAATTCAACATTTGCATTATTTTAGATCAAAAATAGAACCTGATATTTACCAAATTAACAGGTTTAAACTATCAAATAAAAGCCAAATTGTATTTTGTCACATTATTCGATAAGTTAACCAAATGAGTGGAGAAAAATTGAATCTGTCCTGAATATAAATTGATACTTCCATTATGATTTACAAATCAGGCTAAAATAAATAAACTTTTTATATTTTGTGGTAACATAACAAAATTAAAGATTTGTTTCCAATTTAGTATTTTTCATATTGATCAGCTCTATTTTGAACAATTATTAAATTATTATTAATATTTTCAACGAATGGCCTTCGAAAGTTCATGGTTTCATAAGAAGCTTCATAGTATTCAACTAATAAATCCAAGATTTCGGAAGATACAATTAAATTTAATTTTTCAGGACGCAATAGTTTGCCAGGAAATTGCTC